TTTTTAAAGTTAAATCTATATACTTTAGGCGCTTTGAACATTTCTTGAGATGCGAAAAAACCATTGAACTCGCGACACTGTTACCGTAACCGACACAATGGACGATTTAAAAAATACACACATAATTTTTTAAGTTTCCACTTCTGTGCCACCGTTTTTTTTCTTTTTAATTTTATTCTATTATAAAAAAAATTAATATTGCATTGGTTTGGTCATTTGGAGAGGATGGATGAAAGAAAAATTACGAAAGAGATTTATCGAGCAAGAATGAATGGAGATGTCGGTAGGGGCCGCCTTAGATGGACGTATGTCGACCAAATAGGCGACGTGCTGAAGAAGGACCAAATTAAAAGTGCCCGTAACCGGCGAGCGTGTATGAAAAGATTGATGAATGTGGAAGAAGCGAAAGAGGTTTGTTTGAATCGAAACATTTGGCGTTCCATTGTTTCTGCCTACCCTAATGGGAGATAGGCGTGACAGATATGTATGTATGTATGTATAAAAAATGTTTTAAGTTCAAACTCCATACGTTTAGTGGTCGAATTTGACTGTTCGAATCAGCGTCACATGTAACGCAGTACACGTGTTACGCAATACGAATTTTCAATGTATATTTGTCATTCCACCTACTACCGAGTCGGTTGTCAGGCGCGTTATTACTATGTAAATTACTAAACACTATTTTTTTTAATGGATGATAATGGAATGGAAACCTCGTCTCCGTTATCGGTATTTACCGGCGGGGTACCAGTGAGTGATGATAGGTGATGATGAAGCAGATCAGTTGGCCCATCGTGACGAATTCAACAATATTTTTTTTTATCTTTTTTATTTAGAGGCTTTTATCCTATAAGGATATGTCAGCCTCATCATACCCTAATTTTATAAAATACGTCACATACTTAAAACATTGATACATAAATAGATAATACATAATATCTTAGTAGTCTATTTTGATAAAGGGAATTATTGATACAAAAATATAGTAATTAAAGATTTTGCCATTCTGGAATGTGGTTCTGCGAGTATATTTGAAAATAAACCAATCTCCTGTCTATTGAGATTATATTTCTGTATCAATACTTCCCTTTGTGTTTTGTATTTCGTACATTCAGATATCATATGGTGAACATCATCCAATGTGTTACAAACATCACAATTCGGATTATTAACTTTTTTCATAAGAAAAGAACAATTATTTAATCACTATAGTTTCCAGGAAGAACTGCGTTGTGGTCGGCCTATATTGCTAGCAATGGGATTGCCAATCTCCATTGGTTCCCTAATTCCTTCTCCTTACTAAACATTATTTTATGGGTGATAATGAAGTAGTAACCCCACCCGCGCTATCGGTATACACCGACGGGCACCAGTGAAAGATGATAGATGAGGATAAAGCATGTCAGTTAGCCCATCGTGACGAATTCAACAAGAATTGTTCACGATGGTTTCCAGGGGAAACCACGTGGAGGTGGACCTGACAGGGTATATTGCTAGTAATGGGGCTACTTGACCCAATTACTAACAATCCCTTTACCCCCAACTAAAAACTATTAGATTACAGATGTAGTATCAGTCTATTTTTTATAATGGCTGAGAATGGAATGGTAACTCCGCCTGCGCTATACGCTGACAGGGCACCAGTGAAAGATAGATGGGCGAAACTGTATACTCTGTTATGTCTATGGTGCTGCTCATGTCTATAGGCGACGGTTGCCACTTTCCATCAGGTGGGCCGTCAGCTTGTTTGCCATTCTAAGTTGTATAAAAAAAAAGATGGCCAGTTGGCTCCACATATTATCTTATTCAAATTTAAATAAACATCTAACCTACATTGTTGGGGGGGGGAGGATTGATTGTTAGTAATGGGGGATCTAACAGCCCTATCGCTAGCAATATGCCCTATCAGGTCGACCTTCACGCGGTTCCCTCTGGAAACTGTCTTTGTTAATTCTTTTGGAATTCATCACGATGGGTCCATTGACTTGCTTTTGCTCTCACCTATCACCCCTCAGCCAGCGTATACTGATAGCATGGGCAAGGTTACCGCTCCATTTTAATCAAATAAACGTACTTTTTTTATGAAAATAGAATAATCACTATTCGTATACCAGTGCATTGTAATGATCTCAAGATCATGATAAAATTTCTGCAGGATCAATCTGTTAATATAGGCTTTCAGATAAAAAACTAATTTTCCAAACCGGTTTAGAACTGACGGAGTTCTGAAGTAACAGACTTAGAAAAAAAAAAAGAAAAAATGGAACCGGTTCTTCAAAGGGGAGATAAAGAGGTTTCTTCAGGGTCGGCAACGCGGCATACGCGGCAACACGCGTATTACCCCTGGTATTGCAAGCGATCGTAGGCTACGGTAACCGCTTACCATCAGATGGGCCGTATGCTTGTTCGCCACTTCAGTGGTATAAAAAAAACTTATTGAAAACCTCTCTCTTTTTGAAGTAGGTTGAAAATAGAGATAATTATTTTTATAGCTTTCATAAAAATGTTTATTAATTTATGGGTAAAATTATAATGTATTTATAAAATGTAACGACTTTGGTGGTATAGCGTAGCGGTTTTACATAGTGTTTCACCTTCTGATGGTCGCGGGTTCGATGCCCGCACAAAATAAACACTTGTATTATATTAATGAGTCTGTTTTTATTGGTCTTGGAGTTTTCTTTGTTAGTAGGTATACATATATATAAACAAAAGAGTATTTAAGTATATCTATAAGTCGTTTAGTACTTTAGTAGAAACTCTATTTTGTTTGAGACTATGTAATATGCCCAGTGACATTAATTAATTAAATAAAAAAAAAACTTTATTTATTTCAACCGCATTCGAACCGAAGATTTTGACATTCGAATGATTCCGTGATGACAATCAAAATTTAAAATTGGAATTCTATTTTATTGTATTTTATTATTTAAGTCGAACCATAGATAAAACAATACTTTTTTTCTATTGTTAATCGTAGAGGTTAAAGAAGCGAACATTCTGCTTAGAATACTATTACATTTCGTACAATACCCACACATTGACCTTCAATACGAATGATTGTTGACGTAAATCACTCAAATTTTCTGTAACGTGTGCAGCGAGCGCGACGATCGGACTACAATGTGTGTTGGTATGTTTTACTACAGATACAAAAAGGTATCTATTATGTTAATTATTGCTATTCGTTCTGTCATGTGACAGTTGGACATAATAACCGGTCAAGTGTGAGTCGAACATAACGGTTTTCGAAACTGTTTATTTCCATCATTGGACGATGATAACAATGATGATGAATGATAGATATATTTATTATTAGTAATGTGTTTTAGCGAGATATTGCTAGCAATATACAGTGTCTGACGATTTCTGATAATTCCTAATTTTTTTTTGATGGATGAAAATGGTATGGTAACCTCGCCTGCGCTAACGGTATACGCTGGCGGAGCACCAGTGAAGGGTGATAGATGAGAATGAAAACAGGCCAGTTAGCCCATCATGATGAATTCATCAGGAATTAACCATGATAGTTTCCAGGGAGAACAGCGAGGTGGTCGACCTGCTTGGGTATATTGCCAGCAATGGGATTCTCAGTCTCCATTACTAACAGTCCTTTTCCCCCGATAATTCCTGGTTCACGTCATAATAGACTAACTGACCTGGCTCCATTTTCACCAAAATCCCTCGTTAGGGACAAGGGGACAATAGTAATAAGGTCTTATTAAGATTATACCCTATTGAGTCGATCTCCACGCGGTTTTCCCTGGAAACCATTCTTGTAGAATTCGTCAAGATGGACTAACTGATCGGCTTCCATCATCACACATCATCTCTCACTGGTGCCCCGCCAGCGTAAACCACCAATATCGCAGTCGAGGTTACCATTCCATTCTCATCTATAAAAAAAGCATCCTTTACTAATCCCCCGATAGAATAAACCAATAATACTGGCAGAGTTTTCACCCAAAAAATCTCTCTGAAATTCATTACTTGATCTTGAAAGTGTAAGGTATGGCTGTAGCTACGGGGGGGGGGGGGACATTAAGGGGCAATGCCGTACCTAAAAAGGCCCAATGCCTTAAAATGAAAGGCCTCAAGAAAATTAGACAGATTCGCTTTCGTGAAGTCACTTATCAGAGGGAGACTTTGTACAAAAGTCGATTGCTTGAGTACCTCTGTCCCATTCATTTTTCTACCGTGAAGCAGTTGTGTTTGCATGGCTGTGTTTCGATTTGAAGGGCGGGATATGGCGTGAATTTACTGGGTACAGAGGAATAACACCTGAGTCCTCAGGAATGGCAACGCATGGGGGGTATTATGGGCGAAACAGTATACTCTGTTATGTGCATGGTACTGCTCATGTCTATAGGCGACGGTTACCACTTTTCATCAGGTGGGCCGTCAGATTGTTTGCCATTCTAAGTTGTATAAAAAAAAAACACAAAAAAAACATTGGACAGATATCGACATTAGATTCAAGAGTAGACCTACTGTTATGGCAAACAATTATGGCTTCTGCCCTACCAAAAAGTTATTTTGCTCTACCTTAAACTTGGGTCTAGTAGTTTGTGAATCTGACAGTTTGTCTGTTTAGTATTTAAATGTTTAAACTTTTTAATGTAAAGTATACGTAACTTCAGCTTACACGAATACCAATGGAGCGATAATAATGAGTTGCCAACCGCATTAAACAGTAATTTATTCAACATTTTAATTTGTTTGATTATTTATGTGTTGTTTTTTTTTTCAAACGACTCCATAAAGAAGAAGGTTCTCATTTCGGTTATAGGTAGATAGATACTCTTTATTGTTTCCTCCAAAAGATTACAATAGTAAACTTATTATAAATATAAATAATTACAAGAAATAATCACAATTTTCAGACTTTTGTACTGTATTTAACTTGAATTGTTTGTCATTGTATATTCTGTATGTTTCTGGTGCAATAAAGAGTTAAATAAATAAATAAATAATATGATTGTTCTCTCCTTTGTCCATAGTTAATGAGGAGACTCCGACAAGTGGTCGGGCAGAGGTTGTTCGAAATCATCATGAAAGCGACCTTCTACGGACAGTTCGTCGCCGGTGAAGACCAGAACACCATTCGGCCGACTATTGATAGGTATCTTTTCTTTGTCTTTTTAAGCGACTTCCAATTAATAGGAGATAAGAGGTAACCACTAAAATATGGTGCGAAAAGGATTGTCAGTACAATACGCCGGCCCCGGATATTAATTTCCAGGCTTTTAACTTTTATTTTATTTTTCCATCTTATGTACTATTACATTCTAAACTTTTTTTATACTACTGAGGTGGCAAACAAGCATACGGCCCACCTGATGGTAAGTGGTTACCGTAGCCTATGAACACCTGCAATACCAGAGGTATCACGTGTGCGTTGCCGACCCTGAAGAAACCTCTTTATCCCCCTTTTGAAGAACCCCATGTTGTAGTCTCTTGGGAAAACCTCGGCAGGGAGCTCATTCCACAACCTGAGAATAAACTACCTATTCTATTATTACAAACTTAATATGGACTATCTATTTTAACTCCAATCTAGTCTACTATCTAATATACTATCTTGGCTAGGGTGCTTGTTCTATATTTTATTTACATTTAATTTACTACCAGTTTTCCTATTTCTACTTACTTTTTTTACCTATATTTTAACCACATTTTTTTTTATGCAACATAGAATGGCAAACAAGCTGACGGTCCACCTGATGGAGAGTGGTAACCGTCGCCTATAGACATGAGCAGTACCATGGACATAACAGAGTATACTGTTTCGCCCATGATACCACCCATGCGTTGTTATTCCTGAGGACTCAGGTGTTATTCCTCTGTACCCAATAAATTCACATACTTATTATACGACTTCAACATAGTCTTACTTGCTAGCATTTTGTTTGTTTACTTTGTAAATTATTTTATTACAATAATTTGGGAATAACTGCCTTGTTTTATTGTTTCTTATTATTTCTTTATACTGAATTACTACAGTAATGGGGTTATTTATAGCCTTATTGTTTGGAGTATACCCTATATTTTTTTTTTATTGGATAAAATGAAATGGTAAAATCACCTACGCTAATGGTATACGCTGGCGGGGAACTTGTGAGAGATGATAGGTGAGAATGGAAAGGCTGGTCAGTTAGCCCATATTGATGAATACACCCAGAACTTAGCATGATGGTTTCCAGGGGGCCCACGTGGAGATCGACTTGACAGGGTATATTGCTAGCAATAGGACTGGTAGTCCACATTATTAACAATCCCTTTCTCCCTAATATATCCTATCAGGCTTACTTATATGAGGTTTTTTTAATGGATAAAAATGAAATAGGGACCCCGCCTGCGCTATCGGTATACATGGCCGGGCACCAGTGATGGATGATAGGTGAGGATGAAAGCAGGTCAGTTAGCCCATCGTGACGAATTGCACTAGAATTTATCACGATGGTTTCTAGGGGGAACGACGTGGAGGTTGACCTGATAGGGTGTATTGCTAGCAATGAGGCAGTTAGACCCCGTTACTAACAATCCCTTCCCCCCACTTCCACAAGGTTTCCCCTGGAAACTATCGTGGTGGTTATTCTGGAATTCGTCTCGATGGGTATCAGTTCAGATCAGATATATAGATCAGGATAGATCAGTAATATAATAGAAGAGAAAGTAGATGCTTCCTGAGGCTTCTGACGATGAAATCTCTCACTGGTGTACTGCCAGTGTATACCCGATAGTCAGCGTATATCTATCGTTGCCTATAGACAGGAATAGTATCATGGATATAACAGAGTAAACTGTGTTATCTATGACACCGATGAAGGGCGTTGCTATTCCTGAGGATTAAGATGTTATGCCTCCATACCCTGTAATTTTACTGCTATATCACGTTACTTTAATCGAAATACATGAGTGGGACAGAGGTAGATAGATACTCTTTATTGTTTCCTCCAAAATATTACAATAGTAAACTTATTATAAATATAAACAATTACAAGAAATAATCACAATGAAAAAACAATGGGCGACTTTATTGCTAAAAGCGATTTCTTCTAGGCAACCTTTGGATGGAGGGGAATAATGCCAGAGGTACCCAAGTACCCGATTTCTCCACGAAGTCTCTCTCTGGTACTGCTATATGCGTTACTTTTGTATTATATTAATATCTTTTATAATTTCAGGTTGCATTCGTTTGGTGTGAAATCAATCCTCGATTACTCCGTGGAGGAAGATATCTCCCAGGAAGAAGCAGAGAAGAGAGAAGTCAGGTAAGTTATTATAATGATTTTAAATTAGGGTCAATAACACTAATTGCCCGATCCTTTTAATAAGATATCATGTCTTATAAAAAACAGGCAATAATAATATGGGGGCATAAGCCAGAACACTCAGAGCTGAGTCAGTTTAGGAAAGTTTATATTCCCGATCGAAAATTAAACCTAAGCCTTTCTTTTTATAAAGCGATGTACCGATCTCTGTGCCACAGAGGTCATGAAATTATAATAATTATAGCAAATTATCGTGAGAACAGGCCAGCGTCACTTCGATGAGAAAAACAGCGTTTGTGTGAAAAACTAAGTACGCTTTTAAATTTAAAATACTTACCGAATATACATAAAAAAAAAATCATAAAATACGGTTGAACTGTTTCGGAGGATCCCTTACTTTCCCGAGTGTATATTAAGAGGCGATTAAGAGAGCATAGCATGGGAAGGACAGGCAGCAGCGTCCTTCATAAAACAATACCCAAGCCTAACTGTGGTTGCCAAACGTAACAACTATTGAAAACACCAGGGTTGTGGTTAGATTTGGAGAAATGGCAACTCAGAATCGAGCCCAGTGGCGACTTTTAAACATCGTAGTGATTATTTCGTGAGTGGGACATTATTACATTTTGTTGGTGACGAAGTCTTCTACCTATTGGTATTTTTTTTAATTGGTGATAATGGAATGGTAACCCCGCCTGCGCTAACGGTATACACTGGCGGGGCACCAGTGAAATATAGGTGAGGATGAAAAAACAGGTCAGTTAGCTCATCGTGATAAATACACTTGGTATTCAGCACGATGGTTTCCAGTGGGGACCACGTGGAGGTCGACCTGGTTGGGTATATTGCTAGCAATGGGGCCCTTAGTTTCCATTATTAAGAATCCCTCCTCTCACCTACCGGTATTTGAGACGACATTCATAACAAAGTGTGTGGTGAGGACCGTTCAATCAGTGTCCTGTACGTAAATGCCTCTTACCTAACCAAGATAACAATGTCATGTTTACCGTCTGTCTTTTCTAAACAATGCGCTCGTGATATGATCTTTTTTCATAACAAATTTAACCTTCAGACAACTTAAATTCATTTAGTAACATTCTAATGAAACGTTATACATATTTGATGTCCCAAAAGAAAAAAAACACAGACTTCATAATGACAGACAGTCTTAATCGGTCTTACTACATAATTATTTACTGACTAGCGGCCCGTACCGCCTACGCACGGGTGGACATTTTCACATTTTAAAAAGTGGCCATTAAGGCTGCACACGTGATGGAAGCTTAAAAATGAAGTATCTTCTCCCGTTTTTCCAACATTTTCCTTCACTGCTCTGCTCCTATTGATCGTAGCGTGATGAACAGTATACTATAACCTGCCCAGGAGTATGAAGAATAATTGTACCAAGTTGCGTTAAAATCCGTCGAGTAGTTTTTGTTTCTATAACGAACATACAGACAGACAGACAAAAATTTTACTGATTGCATTTTTGGCATCAGTATCGATCACTACTCACGCCCTGATAGTTATTTTGAAAATATATTTCATGTACAGAAATTGACCTCTCTACAGATTTATTATAAGTATAGATATCTTATTGAAATAAGAGAGTGTCCTCCAAAAAAGCCAGCTTTAATTTTTTTATACTTTTTGATTTCAATTATGACAAAACCATTTTTTGATTTAAATACTAAACTGCTGAACCGATTTTAATAAAATTTCTGCGAGACCAATCTGTATGTGTATCCTTTCTGATATAAAAAAAAAGAATTTTCCAAATAGGTTTCTAACTGACGGAGTTATGAGGTGACAAACATAAAAAAAGTTACAATCGAGAACTTCCTTTTTGAAGTTGGTTGAAAAATATTTAAAACGCAGTTTACCTAAACAGAGTTTAACAAAACTCTATACTAGCAGGTTTTACTTGCCCTTCATTGGAATGTACTTTTTTTCCTAAATCACTTGAAATGAAAATTAATTAGTTACATCGTAACTGTACAGAAATAGTTGACCTTGAAGGCGTGTTATGTACTTGTAGTGTTTGTAACTAATGATGTGCCATCACAGATAATTAGTGTTACATTAAATTATATTCGTAAAAATCTTTAGTAAGAATGTAAATGATTTAGTCGGACTTACATAAAGTTAATGACAGGAACAATTAAAGATAAACTAAATAATTAAAAAAAAAAATTGAATATATAACACAATAAAAACAGCTCCATATACCTACATATGTAAATAATAAAAGTAAATTAATAATAATATAACATTAATAAATAAAAACTTATACACATACACATACATATATACACATATACACACATACATATACATATATATATATACATATATATACATACACACACATACATATATACACTCCTACATACACATACATGTATACATAATAAATACATATATTCACAATTGGATCAATGAAGAGGGATTTTCAAAATAAAATTTTATGATACCTGCTTTAAAAGATTTCAGCGACTGTGCCATCTTTAAGTTATTAGGAAGTGAATTCCAGAGACGTGCAGCATGTACAGTAAATGACATGGCATAGCTTTGAGTATTAAAACAAGGCAAATCTATATGTCATTAATCCGACGCGATATGAACATCAATCGACTTCAAAAACAAGGAGACTCCCAATTCGGTTGTTTTTTTTATTAATTTGTCCCATAGATTGGTCCCATTTTATCAAAATTAGATTCAATAGCTTAATTTTTGGACCAAAATTTCTGTTTTTTTTTATACAACTTAGAAGGACAAACAAGCTGACGGCCCACCTGATGGAAAATGGTAATCGTTGCCTATATACATGAACAGTACCATGGACATAACAGAGTATACTATTTGGCCCATGATAACCCCCATGCGTTGCCATTCCTGAGGACTCAGATGTTATTCCTCTGTACCCTGTAAATTTACGCCATATCCGACCCTTCAAACCGAAACACAGCCATGCAAACACAACTGCTTCACAGTAGAAACACGAATGGGACAGACGTACCCAAGCAATCGACTTTTGTACAAAGTCTCCCTTTTGTTATAATCGAAGTTGTTTTTTGGTTCAGATACAATCTTTAATTATTAAGAATATATATTATGCAAGAGCTTAATCTTTTGGCGATGATAGCAGAAAAAATAATATGGTATTTTTTTTATTGAATTGGTAAACAAGCTGAGAGGCCTCCTGAAAGTGATGAAAAGTGGTTGGCACACGTCGCTTATACGTTAAAACTTGAAAATAATAAAATATTTACACTTGCGTGGACGTTCCTGTGGATTAAAATATTATATTTAATAAATAGCTACGTACGCATTATTACTAGGCGCTAAAAAAACAAGTAGCACAATGGTAATCACGCAGTCGACTCAGATTTCAAATAAAAAAATAAAAATATTAGCGTTCATTAGTCGCCTACCAACAAATAAAGCCTACAATCACTACTCGGTCCACCAAAATGAGCATAGTAAATATGGCTTCCGCGTAAATAGTGATCACTGATCAATGAAGTATCTACGTCATGCTTTGTCAATTATCTTTGGCCTTGTGTCTACTCTGTGGAGGCGTAAATTGAGTACAGATTCATAAGTCCATTTCAGAGGAATCGACCTGTTTCAGAAAATGCATAGAGATATATTTTTTTTAAGAAATAATCTAAATAATATAAAAAATAAAATAATAATTTATTTAAGTTTTGGTTTAAACTTAACTGCCTCATTCAAGTTTAACCGATGCATAATCTGTGTTTGTATTCTCCGTTTAATTGATTAATATATTAATAAAATACAGACAGAATATAGAATAAAATTTGTTTTAGAGTATTTTAAAATTACTTGTAGTATTTACAAATATTATATTAAAAAAATCATATTATGAATGAATGAATGAATGAAAGAAAATTTAATTCAATAATCCACAACACTTACATAGACTTAAACTGCAAGTAATAACATTAAAAATAAACATAGAAAAAAGTTTACATTGAAATCTGTAAGTGAAATGAAACAATATGCCAATGCAGCTTAAAGTTCCCGTAGAAGCAGAAATGCTGATTTTCAATTAACACCTTATCAATTATAATTATATACATATATATACATATATTGTGATATACTTGAGAGTCGAAAAAAAGTAAAATGTAAAATTAAACCATATGTAAAGCTATATTTTAAGAGTGTTCAAAACATGAATTTACTGTAGTCATTATCTGTCAATTTACAAAACAATTTAATATTGTTTCTGTCTACCCTAATGGGAAGGGGGAAAAGGGATTGTTAGTAATGGAGACTGAGAATCCCATTGCTAGCAATATACCCAATCAGGTCGACCTCTCGCGGTTCCCCCTGGAAACTATCATGGTTAATTCCTGATGAATTCATCATGATGGGCTAACTGGCCTGTTTTCATTCTCATCTATCACCCTTCACTGGTGCTCCGCCAGCGTATCCCGTTAGCGCAGGCGGGGTTACCATACCATTTTCACCCATCAAAAAACTTAATGGGAGACAAGCGTGACATATATGTATGTATATATGTATGTAGGATATTCTACAAGTAGTTTTCATTCCAACATTGAAAATGTACTTGTCAATTTAATTATGGAAAAAATATAATAGTAAACCAATTATGACATGCATGTCATTGTTGACATTGTATCTCATACATTTAATTGTTTCAATTCTTGTCCTTTGATACTTTTTTATACGATTTAGATGTTGCAAAAGTAACAATCGTCACTTATAATCATGGACAGTAGGTCTACTCTTGAATCTAATGTCGATATCTGTCCAATGTTTTTTTTGTGTTTTTTTTTATACAACTTAGAATGGCAAACAAGCTGACAGCCCACCTAATGGAAGGTGATAACCGTCGCCTATAGATATGAGCAGTACTATAGACATAACAGAGTATACTGTTTCGCCCATGATACCCTCCCATGTGTTGCCATTCCTGAGGACTCAGGTGTTATTCCTCTGTACCCTGT